CCCCCTCCACCGCCTACTACAAGCCGCAACAGAGCAAGAGATGATTCACCTGCTCTTTATCATTCCTTGCCCCCCTGCTCTTTATCATTGCCATTGACCCCCTCCACCGCTTACTACAAACCGCAACAGAGCAAGAGATGATTCAGCCACTGCCTGGCAGGGATATCAAGCTACGGATCAGTCTATATGCAGATGGCGCCGGTGATTTTAGCAAACCCCATGCAACAGGAGATTGAGGTCCTGATGGAGATCATCCAAAATTTTGGTATGGCGACGGGCCTCAAAATAAATTTTCAGAAATCAACAACTACACTCATCAGACCTGAGGAGATCAATATGCAGCAAGTTCTTCAGAGCTTTGAGGTTAGATCACCAGTTTTCCAATGACCCATCTTGGGTTGCCGATCACCCTCACAAGCATGGGCGGATCTGGCCCCCAGGCAGCCCAGGCAATGGCCTGGGGCATGAGAAATTTCTCAGCCTATATATCTAGAGAAAAAAAAACTGGTCTGGGGGCGCAGCCCACTTCCTACCCCTCTTGCCGGGCCATTGAACAAAACACTGGCCTGGGGCGCAGCCCACTTCAATTAATAAAAAAGTGAATGAGAACAAGAAAGACACAAAAGCCCGAGCTCATTTGAGCTCGGGCTGAGAAAGGACTTTCCGCTATCTACACCCGAGCTCAAATGAACAGTAAAATCAAAAAACATTTTAAAAGTGTTCAAAAAAATCTGAAATTTTTTTGTGATAAACTTTGACAAATGTTCTAACTGCTTGCAAAATTTCATCTTCAGATCACATTCGTGGAAGGCGTGACAAAAAAAAAACAAAATGGATGCTCTGAAAATGCTACTTTCAAAGCATTTTGGAGCATTGATTTTGTTTTTTTTTGCCACGCCTTGTACAAATGTGATATGAAGATTAAATTTTGCAAGCAGTTAAAATATTTGTCAATTTTTACCACAAAAAAAATTCAGAATTTTTTGAACATTTTTAAAATATTTTTTGATTTTACTGTTCACCCGAGCTCATTTGAGCTCGGGCTGAGAAAGGACTTTCCGCAAAAGCCTGAGCTGCTAGTGCGTTCCGTACGGGAGTCTTTTTGTCTAGAAAAGGAAGATGACCCATCTTAGGCTAGTTGATGAAGAGATTTCTCTTGCTAGTTGCCACTGTTTTCAAATCCCATTTTCTCGTGCTAGTTCTTTTGCAGGGAATTTCTCTTGCTAGTTGTCACTATTTGAGGCTTGATTCAAACATGATCTTTAATTCTTTCCCTTTTTATATTGTTTTACTTACTTTTGTTGTTCTGCAGAGAAGATAAATGTGGAATCCGATTTAGTAATTCACATTTTGCATTTGTTATTAAACCTGCTAAGTTTTTTTTAAAAAAATTACTTGAATGCACTGATTTGTAGTTCAAAATTTATGATTTTTTTGCCGGAAAACTTTTAATCTATTCATCTTCAAATATAGCAGTACAATGAACACTAAAAATAATAAAACTTACATTCAAGTTCATAAACCACCTAACGACGACTACAAGCACTGAAGCGAGCCAAAATCGTGCCGTCGTCATCGCCCTCCCTCGCCGGAGCTGGCATGTAGTAGATAGTCGGAAGTCGTCGTACTAAGGCCTTATAAGACAAGCGCATCAAATACAACCACCGACTGAATTGTGTGAGATCTGCTGAAGAAACACCTCCACACCCTATCCGACAATGCTAGACGCACCATCAGGATGGGGGCTAGGCAGGGAGAACCTGATTCCATCTTGAGGGAGACGCCACCATCTCGCCTTCCTGAGTAGGACATAAGCCCAAAAAAACTCAAATAAATGTCTAAGAACAGAGTCCTCCCGCCGGCAAGGGCCGGGATCCACCACGCCCCATGAACCTAAAGCCACAGGGGACGAGGCAGAATGGCGCCGCCGCCGCTGCCGGGCGGCAGGAACCCTAGTCACCCTTGGAGGAGAGACATCATATGTCTTTTTTTATTGAACATGCAGTCATAGGAGGCTCATATGAATCAATCCTTTGATTTGGTACCATCTTTTGTATCATTTATATGCTAGATATTGTCTTTTAACATGTCTTACTTTATTAGTTAAACTGTGAATGAACAAATACCGCCATTGAACATTGTGTTTGGATTTTTATTAGTTATAACTTGACTTTATATGCCTTGAAACCAATGTTTTAAATAGCGGGCTATGGCATATAGCGGCGACCCTTAAAAACAGCTATAGCTGAGCTATAGCGAGACTATAGCGGCAAATTGTACATAAAATCATTTAGCGACAACATGCTCAAACAGCTATAGCGGAGCTATAGCGGGGCTATAGCCGGCTATTTAAAACTATGCTTGAAACTGGATTTTTTTTACACTTAGTTTCTCGTCTGGGGCGTCAACCAATCCTGGCTCCGCCACTGCTCACAAGGCTTCGGATGGTGCACCTTCAGTTCATCCTTGAGCATCCGTGCTCGCCTGGCAAGGTGGAAGGGCA